GTCGTTTACAATTCATATAAGCTTTTAGTAGATAGAAAACTATTTTGTAAAGCTGTCTAAAGAATTTATTTTTATGAATAGTATACCTATAAATGTTTTTCTGTAACAAACTTTAAGAAAAAGCTATTGTTCTAAATTCGGTTGAAGTATCTCATTTCCGGCTATAAAAGTTTTTTGTTTTTTTTATTACTATTATTTAGACTCCAACATAATTTCTCAATCAGCATGGTTGAGAAACTGAATATACGATTGTAATATGTGGGTAGTTCCGTCATAGATGTGCTGCAGAAAGATCGAAAGAAAGTAACAAGATATTCTTGATTTTTGGCATAAAATATGTGAATATGAGTTCTAGTCTTCTATTCACCTACACGCACACCCACTCTGGAGGCATCACCTTTTTCAAAATATTTTTCCTTTCGATCTTCGTATGATCAACTCCACCGTATGTGTCATAATTCATTTATAAATTTCATCGAATCCATTTCAACATTTCTATTCTTAACGAGCATAGTCGATGCAAATTACACATTCGCTAAAAATCGCTACTGTTAAGAGCTTCCAGACCTATACAATTATAGTGCAATATGAGTTGTGATAGAGAATTATTGTTAAAGTATATTCTTAAAGAAATGCTCTTTGTATGAAAATTGTTTTACACTTTTACGAACAACAAAGCTTTTCCGAAAGAAAAAAATTGTGAAATACGATCTACAAGGAATGTGGAAGTATAAAGATACAAATTTGCACAGATCTTCCTTCTGCATCATAGATCTTAACAGACGTCGACATTCAATCACAGATCGTATATCAACAACGTCTCGTTCTAATATATGAACTACTTCCATATTGCATATTTGAAGGATGAAATAAACGGATGCTCAAACCAAAAAAATAGATAGAATAAAACAATCTCCCTGTAATTGCCAAGAGCAGCTACATCATGTTTCACATATGAATCCAGCAGGGACTGCATTAACAGCTTTCATTATACGAAAAATATTGTTTCGTTCAGATGATAACTAAACTATTTACCATTACAATTAGTTTAATTTCTTGATGGAACATTGATGAAAATTATTTCGCAATTGCCATTTCTATAGTATTTTTTAATGGATGAAAATTTCTGGAATCAGAATTTTGAGAATAAGACTTTAACCTTATGCGATCACATAAAAAGATATTTTTTGGAGATCCAACAATATCAATGCTTGATAATTCAAGTGTACCTGATTGCTTTTTTATAAGTGAAAAAAGTGTTGATCATTTTATGAATAAACAGAAATAAAAACAAATACTCACCCTGTATAATATAATATTTTTCGCGTTTGGATAAGTATATTCAAGCTACATAGGACCTTCAATCCTAAAGCAAACATGAAATATTGATATGTCATACATCTTATGTTTTTACAAAGAGCTATATTATCCTAACTTACGAAACGAATTCTTATTTCGGTAGAGTAAAGTGATAGTCATAATCGAAGGATGTCTTTCGAGATCTATTAAAAGCAATATGAATTTATTTTCCATCCATATCACAAGAAATTGACGACAGCAAAAACAAAATTCAAGATCTTCCATTGCTTTCACTTTTGCTCTAAATAACGGGACGAGCAAAACTAGAAAGAACCTCGTGTTTTTAGATTCAGCGGTAAGAATATAGACATTATATTTATCGTACGCTTCTAATCCATTTATAACAGCTGTCAGATAAGACTATTACTACATAGATAATATATATATATATTGTATATATTTATGACTACTCTTATTTTCAATAGAATTGAGACTAAAAGTCTTAATAATATACTGTACATATCCTATCTGTCTAAATATACTTTTATTTTATAATAAGAATAGAACTAAGAGGACTAGCGGAACTTTAGATACATTATATGTATATCGATATTTACTTTTTTGGGAAAAAGAAGTAGTACTAGATGATTTTTAAATGATACGTTCATCTGACGATGTGGCCAGATATGAATACAGTGTGCGAAATATTCATTGGTCTATTGGTGTGAATTCATATGCCACCTATTGGCATTTCGCTTTCAAACAGTTAGAAACAATACAATTTCGAAGAAAACACAGAAAAATCGCGTTTTTGTTGAAAATATTCAATACTGTAGTTTTTGTTATTTGTTTGACAATAATGGTGCTTGATTCGTAATAAAACTGAAATTCACTAATCTAATTATATTTTTTTGTTTTGCAACGAAATGTGCATCATCGAAAATATCTTTTTGAAATAGAATAAAAAGATTGTATCAAATTCTCTTTCTCTCTAAAAAAAAATGTCAAGGATCCCGCTGACTTTGGTGATCTATCTTAAATCATGATACCATATATGTGGTCTTGTATAGCAATTTGCAACATGTCGAATGATATGTAAGAAATCGAGTTTGTTCCAAATTTTTATGCGCTGAAGGTTTGTATACTAGTTATAATCCTTGAGGAATATATATGGTACTCAAAGACATGGTAGTCCTTAAGTTGTCTTAAGATAAAATTATATACATTTTTTTTAAACTTAACCCGACACAGCTATGGATGCACTTGAAATTTCTATGATCAATAGTTTTCATCGTTGTTGTTGTCAAAATTAAAAATGGTCAGTTGTAATAGGCCTAGGCTATTTGTTGACTATACAGTATTCCAGTGTGCTCAATCCTGCGTCACATAACAAGTGAGTAACAACGTAAAATTTTCTCAATACTAGACACTTTCGAACTCTATATATGTCACCGATAAGATCTTTCACAACAGTAAGGACTCATTGTTCACTTATGAAAATATTCGGTAAAATACCCTATGCTTCTACATGAAGGAGCTGGTAGATTAACGATATTTTAATAAAAGCTCATAGTCCTTTAAAAACTGCTTATGTATAAATAACCAGCACAGCATTTCCGATGAATTCATATAAATAATTTCTTTACAAGCAGAAAGAGTTTTTTTGACTTACAGGTCTCTGGGGTATGGTACGAGAACATGGCAAAAATTACTTTTGAAATGAACATAAAATATTAATAAATTTTTCTAGAATCTCATATATGAATCAAACCCGGACGCTCAGAATCGAAACTTGAGAAAGAAATATAAAAAGTAGCAGACTATCTACCTGCAATCCTATGCCTGTACTACTTTCATGCACCTAAAAGCCAAAAAATTTCTCTGCTTATAAAGAAGATATTAATATCAGTTCATTAGAAGTGCTACGCTGATTAATCGAATATAAAAATTGTTGATAAGATCATTGAGTATTATTAAAATATCGTCAATATAAAGATCGCTTTATATAGGAAGAGCATCTATAACTTTATTAAATTAAGTTTAAAAACAAAATATGCATAAGTTTATCTTAGCACATCTTAGAAACTACAATCTTTATGAGTACCATATAAATTTCTTAAGTATTATAACCAGTATGTGAACACTGAGCACATCCAAATTTGAAGAAAACTTGATTTCTTATATAGCATTCAATGCTTCGAAAATTGCTGTGCAAGACCACATCTATAGTATTCTGATTTAGGATAGACCACTAAATCCGATGGAGTCTTTTCTTATTCCAGAATTCTCAATGTAGCTTCATTATCATCAATTGCTTTCTTTTTGTTGGCATGAGTAGGAAAAAGTGCAGTGCCTGGCAAAATCCTGATTTTTGAATTAAGCTTCTTGGTTATTATTTAGGAAAAGCACTTCTATAAATAGATGGTCATTTTTAGCGAGATTTTCGAGGCATTAAATTTGTCATCCTTTTTCTCCGTGTAAAAAGTAAAACCTTTAAAGAAACTTTGTAAAGAGTTGCACTAGGGCATGTTCTTTCAAATTAAAAACAAACTAAATCCATAGAATAAGGTGCATAGAGGATTTGAATTATTAAATGTGCTATTTTTGACCCTTATTTTTTTAATATTTCCTCACCACAGCATGGCATAGGATTGAAAGTTTTACTATGACATCTTGGCAATAGTCACAACGTATTCTGAAAATTTCATGCGATTTGAATTCACTCTGTCCAAGATCAACTTTTGGGGGGGACGAGGAGCTTAAATATAAAAAAAAATGTTATTCATGTTGCCGCGAAAGCTCAACACAGTTTCGTCTAGCTTGATCTGAACTGTATATATTTTGAGCATTCGTATAAGTCAAATTAAAAACATCATTACTATGTTCTTAGCCGCATCCTGAAAATTTTCTGCAAAGAAAAACACAGTAGTAGTCAGAAACGAAAGATCAGACAATAAAAAAAAAACATTAAAATTTTCAATAGGTAATTTCTAACTAAAAACAGAAGATATCATTATCTTTCATATTTACCACGCCATTAAATGAAATATTCTTCCCAGTTTTTATCTGTCATACTTCAAAAGAAGTAAAAGGATTACTCAAAACAAAAGAATCCTATTTGTCATCTAACTGCCCGCAGTAAGATAAAGGAAAATTGGATTACTGTTAGCATTTGTACTTTTAGTATTTCTTTAAAGCAGTATTTAGTTCATAATCCTTTAAGAAAACTCTCAAAAGAACTGTAATTCAGGTTTTTAATATTTTTTTTCTCTCTAGATAGTGATCATCAATCTATTCTAAGCCTAGACGAAGTTATGATCTCGATGCTTTTATAATTGAAGAAGAATAGGCAAGATTCCAGAAGTTAAACAATCCTTTTATCACCAACGATATCAGAAAATTGCACAAAATTATATATAAATAGTGATTTGCAGAGATTCTAGTATGGATTATTCTATCAATTTTCTATTGATAATTTACTAGTAGAGAAACAACAATAACATTTTCTTGTTTCTTATCTGAAAATTATTATCAAATTTAAACTCATTCTGATCATTTGTATATTTCTCTACAATACGTCGATTATAAACAAGACAAAACAACAACACTGCAAAAAAAAAAATCTTGAGAGTGACTAGGTGACACTGTGAAAAAGATAAATTAACATTCTTTGTTGTTTTTTTTTTTACAAAACAAAAAAGTCACTGCTGTCCAGTTAATGATTGATTATCAAGCCAATGATGATGTCCAAATTCAATATTATTTCCATTTACTACGCCTGTTGTTGTTATACCATTTGTAACAAGTGTACAATAATCAAGTTCCGATGATGATGCATGATCATCATTCGTTGTCATTGATGATGATGATGATGAAAATGAATTTGTTGGCATTAATCCTGATTGTGTTGAATAAGATGATGTACGATTTGGTCCACCAAGAAATCCACTTGTTTCTGTATACGGAGAATCGAATGGAATTAATTCATTTGATGGTGGATGTGCTGATCGAGATATAACATCAGAATAAACAGGATTATTATTATGAATATGTGATAATGAATCATCGGATTCGCGTTCAGATAATTCTATAAATATTAAAATCATAAAATAATATAATATTTACTTTTTTTTCCCTATAATAATTTACCATCATAAGATACAGCTGTATCACCGTCGTTACTTGTATCTTCTTCTTGATGCATACTATGATTTTTACGTGTTTTCATACGTGTTGTTTTTCCTTCGACTGCTCCATTACGTAGAACATTTGACCATCGTCGACCAGAATCTTTTTTTAAACGTTTTTCTTTAGCTCGACGATTTTGAAACCTTTTTCATAAGAAAAATAAAATTTTTATTTAGAATTCTTCATTTATATATATATTGAAATTCTTACCAAACTTGTACAACACGCATATCTAAACCAGTTTCAGCTGCTAATGTTTCACGTACATGTCTAGCAGGTTTTGGACTTGTATTATAGGCTTGTTTAAGAATTTCAAGTTGTTTTTGTGTTATAGTTGTACGTGGCCTTTTATTTGTATCATCAAATTCTATGATGAAATATCTTTTTATTTTTACTATATTTGAAAAAAAAATCAAATCTAAAAATATTACCTTTATTTTTTAATGTTTCATAGTCAATTTTACAAACAAGTTTTTGATCATCAATTAAATAAAACTCATCACCTGTATTCAATTGACGATGACAAATAAGACAAGCAAAACATTGTAAATGATAAACATAATCACTTGCACGTCGTACAACTTCAGATGGTGGAATACCATTACCACATGATGCACATTTTGTACCAAATTTTCTTCAAAAAAAAAATAAATTCATTAGCTGTTTCTTTTTTTAAACAATTTATTTTAACTTACTTAAAAAAATCTTCTTTACAATAAACACTTCCATCTCTTGAATAACATTTATCAAGTAATTTTATACGACATTCTGAACAATTTAAACATAATGAATGAAAATGATTTTCATTTACTTTAAATACAAATTGATCACATATTGGTAACGAACATACAGAACAATCATATGTTGTGATAACTGCACCTAAAATAGGACAGACGATGACATTTCTATTCTACCAATCGGATTAGAATATATGATAGTGACATTAATCTTTTTTTCTTTGCCTTTAAAAAATGATTGACATGAAGTTTTTCTTTTTTTCTTTTCTTAAAAGATTTCGAATAAGAATAAATGAAGAAAGAAGATATTTAAAACTACCTGTTCGATGTTCATGATGTTGTTGTTCATTATTATGCTTATTTCCTATGACAATATTTGTTTCATTATTAAATGTCATATTTATTAATCTTATTCAATTCGGAACGAATCAATTTTCTTTTATATTACTAACACTACATATACACATACACACTTATCTTGTTCGCTTCCCTTTTTATGAATAAATGAACGGCAGACGTTTGTTTCTTTTTTTTTTTCTCGTACCCATTCGTTCATGAAAAAATATGTTAACCAATGAGGAAAAAGACATTAGAAAAAAAAAAAAAAAAAGAAAGAAAAATAAGATGGAAGAGGAGGAGTAACTCTTTCCTTTTTTTTTCTTTTCTCTTCTTTTTCCCCATTGATCTTATCCAGTGAACACACGCCCTCATTCCATCCCGTTTGCAGATCGTTATCATTGACTCTGGCGTGAACTATCTATCTATCGGATCATTTATACACGCATAAACTAAATAAAAAAATAAAAAAGAAATTGTCGCGCACGCGACAAAGTTCATCCATTAAAAAAACAACAAAATCAAGAGATAAGATAGATTGAAAACTTTCGAACAGATGGAAAATAGCTAGTTTAAAGTTTACGTTTTTAAAAGATCCCATACATGGAAAAGCGGTGAACATACTAAAATATTTTATGTTGATTTCCCAGGAGAATATTATGCTAGTGTTAACACTTTAGTTTTTTCGACTAGTAATGGTGACGATGATCACATTCACACTTTTGTTTTTTTTTTTTTTTTTTTATTCTTATATATTTGTCTGTCTACATAAAAAACTCGCTGAATTCACCGATGACATTGCATGCAATGCACAAAAGTCTTGTTCCCGTGCGATTGACAAAAGAGAAAGTATGAGCATTGATCACGCTCTTCATCAAATTCACATTGTTGTTGCTCACACCTCAATGCACAAAAAAAAGAATGAGACGATAGTCCCAAGAGATTTTCATAGGTGATTCAGAATTGGTGTGTATGAATAGTTAATATATGTGCTAATGTTCGTTTCTACTTTTTCTCTCCAAGGAATTCAGTATGTATTTACTGTTGAAAAGAAACAGAAAAATAAATTTAACTACAGGTACTTTCCTATTTTGCATTTTTCCATGAAGTGTCACATACTATTGACAATAACAAGAAACTAAAGCTTTTATTTTTTTTTTCATAAAAGTTATTCGATGGTATTTTTGGATTTTGAAACGTTTCTCTTCTTTCTTTCTTTCTTTCTCGTTCTTTCTTCTTATATTAATTTCATCGATGTTCCACTATTTCCTCGATTTTGATTTGATCGTCCATATCATGATTATCATTGACATATTGTGACAATCATCATTTGAACTCCATCGATGCAATATGCTTTCTCGCTATTTTCTCCGGTCGTTCAATCTGCTAATTGCATCCTTTTTCTAACCAACAAGTGTGAAGCGCCTGCTTACATTTATTTCACAATATGGAAGTCAACGAGTCTTCTTTTCTCCTTCGTCTTTTTCTTTTTTTTTATTTCCACTCGTTTATTCTCACACACTTTTTGCTCGTTGTCCATCTGCTAATCAACTAGCTACTACTAGTAAAAAGACGAAATATGAGAGCAGTCAAATGTCACCCGAAGCCTATCCAGGTGCAATATAGACGAAGACAAAAAATATCTTTACCGAAGGGCATTAAGACTGAAAAAGAAAACTATACGAATCACTTGATTGTCTTCATTCGAGTTAATCAACACAAAAGACATCTCTTTAGTAGTTCGAATGTCATTTACCTAGATGTACATGTTAATCAAATAGTGATGAAGAAAAGACACAAAGTGGCACGAGTATGTGACAGGTTGCTTGCTCAGCATGAATTCCTTCGTCATTTTTTTTTTCTCTTTTCTATATAACATATGGATACGATCATTTCCTATATTTTTATCGATCAATATTAATTGCTCTATGACTTAATAAAATTCACATCAATTGATGGATATATAATCTTTTTTTTTTTTTTTTTAAATATAATTGAACACGAAATAAGACAAAAATAAACATACATTTCAAAATAAGCAAAAAATAATAATAGGTGTACAAAAATGAACTGCAAATTTGAGCAAAAAAATATTACGATACTACGAATCGTTTCTTACACATTTGATCACCTTTTATAAAAAAAAAAAAATTCAATGCATTAATAAGGTATACATAAAGATATATATATATATATATGATTGATTGTTCATTTATATACTTGTATATGAGTTAAATTGAATAACAACACCGGTTGATTAATTATGAGTTGCAGGAAAATCAAGTAGTGAACCACTTTGTTTCTTCCATGATGCAATAGAAGCTATGACGATATGTTCACAATCAGCTTGATCAACAATCTTTTGTAACAAGAAAAATTTTTCAATATGAATTTATTAATAGACTTAATTATTCACAAATATATAAAATAAAAAGAGAAGAATAGCACTTCTAGATTTTCCTTATATAGATTGTTAAAAAGGCTTTAAACGATATTTGTCAGTAGATATTAAAAGACTTCTGAATCCTATAAAGAACTAAATTCATAGTACAACAAGACTAAGAACTTTCGACTTGTCAACTTTTATCAATTTAAAATTAATAATCAGTACAGAAATCAAATATAAATTCTCTTAACTATGAACGATGTGTTTCAATTTGGTTAAAAATAATTTTTCTTTTAGGTAATGGAAAATAGAAAAATTCTATAAAAATATCAAAATGGAAATGTTTAAGTTATTTATTTGGATACACCAAGAAGAAGGGTAAAAACGATAGCTCAGGAGCCTGATTGGAATACTTTTAGTAACAAGGAAAATTTTTCAAGATTGTGGGATCGCGGCCTTCGATCTCTCCTGCGCGGAACACCTTTAACTTTGATTAAAGAAAAAAATATTTTCAAAATTAATAATGTATGAGTAACTAATGTCGGTGTCAGAATTAAAGAGAGATGGATGTGTAAGCTCAATAACTCAACAATGGCAACAGTTAGAGAGCGGTAATTTTTAGCAAACGAGAAAACAGAAGTCCGGACGTCTACCTGTCTGATATTATATAAGACGAAATTATTTTAAAGCTTATTATCTTTGCAAAACATTCAAAAAGAATGCATAAAAACGGTGTTCCGTTTCGATGTAATTTTGATTTTGACATGTACTGCAAATATAGAAACTTCAGGTCTATAGTTTAAGGCACGATTCAAGTGGTTATCTTCTCACATCTAAATGTTGAGCATAGATATTCAGTCAAATTCCATAGAATCCTGTTGATTTGTAGCAAAATTTTTTGACTTACTATCAAACACGACTATGAATTTTTCGATAATTTTTTATCACAGAAAGGTAATATTTGTAAGCTTCTAGAGAAAAACTTCTTCCATCAGATATGTATGTCATATGACTTTTTACTGCATACCAATGGCATGGCAGTGAATGACATCACCTTTGCTGTGAACACGGCAGAATGCGGCGAAGATGGCGCTATCTGTCTGACATAATAACAGTGCGTAGAAGAGCTTGATATTGCATACACTATTAGACAGAGGAAGTCTTTCTTGATAATCCTACTTATATTCTGTTGTGTAGTCAAACCATAATAGTCGCCTTTTCTTTGAATGGAATATCGTTTTCATTCATATTTTTGAATTTTTTTTCCAAAATGATGAATTTTAAAATAATTTAGTCTTATATAATATCAGACAAAGAGACGTTCGGATTTCCTCCCTTTCGCTTTCTGAAAAGCACAAGTTGCTAGCTGTTGCTATTGTCTAGTTATTGAGATTACACCTATCTCTCTGTGATTCTGCTGTAGAAATTAACTATATGCATATTTTTAATACTAATTTACAGAGGTGAATTAAAACTTTTGAAGCCATTTCTGAAGATATTTGTTATTCAGTGTCACATCTGAAAAATATTCTATGAATTGTTTCCAAATGAAGTTAGAATTCCTTCTGATATCATAAACGTATTTATTTCTCTTAGCAAATTGAATTCATTTTAAATGAATAATTGATACTTGAAATATATTCATAAAGAATTTGACTTAGTAAGGTAACAAAAATATACAGTAAAGTTTCATATTTTTTTGTTGTTGTTGCAAATATTCAAAAGACAAAAAAAGGAAACCATAATAAATAAAGTCTTACTTTGAGATCACCGAGATATTGTATAATTTCTGTTGTTGTGTACAAACTAAGTAGCTTTAGACGACAATGATGAAGAATATGAATTGTTAAAAACACAAAAATATATTCGCTACCAGCAAGAAATTTTTCCCAAATGCTAAATAAGAAAAACTTTTTTTTTTGGATATTATTCAAAAAAAATAGATACTTTAATAAAGAAATATCATCAACTATTAATTGAAAACCATCTTTAAGCCATTTTTCTGGTATATAACCAAATACATTTTGAGTATTTAAATGAAGTAATAATTTCGGTTCATGAAGAAATTCTTGTTGAGCAATTCTACTAACATGATACCGCTATCAAAAATAATAAATTATACATTTTTATGAATTTATACTTTTTTACTTAAGTACGAGTAAGGCAATACGTCGAGTTAATTGAACAAATTTATCGTATATTTTACAAGTCATAAGCCAACATTCAGCAGTAACTTCTAATCGTTGTTCATTATCATTATCAAGAAAGACACAAATAAAATTTGCAATCGATAAATATGGTTCATATTCGTTCTATTATAAATTTAAAAGAAAAGAATATTTAATTTTTGATTTTTTTTGTATTTTTTACTGTTAAAGTAACAGATAACTTAGTTGGATGTGAATCCAGTAAATACATTGAAAGAAATTGTTGAGAAATAGTTGTATCAGTTTTAATTAGTCGACAAGTTGTTAATGTTGAATGAAGACATTTGTACATGTCACAATTAGCTTGATCAACATATTGACGTGTTGTACGATAAGGTGATTTAATACCTTAAAAAGAAAACTAATTAAAAAAAAAGAAATATTTTATAAATAAAAGAAAAAAACCTAATAAGATCTTCCAACAGAATGGCTTTAATTCAGCAACAATTGAATTTTTTTGAACATGCTTTTTTAATTTTTCAATATTTATTGTATCAGATTCAAGTAAATCTCTAAATACTGTTTGAACTGTTCGTTGTATTAATATCATATCTAGAATAAAGAATATTATCGAAAAAACAAACTGATCTTTATTTAATTAATCAATATCCTCAAAATTCGTTGTAGATTTTGAGGATTGCTGATTTTCAATCGGATTTTCAAGTAAATATTTTAAAATATGAAGAATCATATCTGAAGAGAGATTTAATGTAGTTAATAATGATTTAATAATTTTCGATTCTGTCAAATGAGATAATATCATAGGTAATTTTATTGCCAGTCTAAAATTAAAGTAAATTAAATAAAAGAAAAAAAAAAGAAAAGTCATTAGTACATACAAATGAATAAGAAATAAAGTCATTATTGTCCATTCATTGGATTTCAAGGCTATATTTTCACTACCAAAGCTAAATATGTACATAAAAATAAATATATAGTTTTTTTTTTCTATCCTAAAAGTATTCGAATCAGGATTGCCAAATCTCCTGATTTTTATAGACTTTCGTGACCTTCAATTTTAGGGACATTTTGAATCAATAAGAAAAGCACGCTGTATTTACTTGAATTATTTGAAACAAAAGCAAGCAATTTCAATAAACAAACTCCTCTATATCACGAACTTGTGCAACTATAGACAAAAAGAAGCAATCTATTCTATGTTTATCGAATGTTTTCGTTGCAAGAAGATTACCTTAGTTAAGTGTTAAATTCATTAGAGAACAATCTTTACTGTAATTGATGCTCATCTAAAAAAAATGGCAGATGGAAATTCTTTTAATAACTTGTGATAGAAGTAGGATAGAGAGCTGAGAGTTACACCTTTAGAAATAGGAGATGAAGACACACCGAGCCGTATATGGCAAGTTTTTTCGACCTGTGTTTTTTAAGGTTTTCAATTGACCTTTTTGAGAAACAGCATATTCTATTAGGTGACTATAGTGAATATTCTACTATCATATGTGTATCGGAATTGCTAAGAAAGCCTCAGATTTTTAGAATAAGTTATGCAGGAGTCATACATATTCTGATCAAAGTTCTCGGCAGATTTTTCAAGTCATTTCTGTAAAAAAAAAAACATATGCTTGTTGTTTGCATATGTTGAAAGAAGCCAGTTAATATCTAAAACTTTTTTTTTGTAAATTTGATTTAAAAAAAATTTGAGAAAACATCTTAGAAGAACCTATAATATATGATTAGATGCGACTTTATGTTGTCTTTCCAATGGTGAAAACTACAGCGCTCTATCTGGTTTCTCTCAACAGTTGGTCGAAGAATACTCACTCGCTTTTTTTAAAATGAGCATTAATAAAATTTGCCGATTCTGTCTTGCTGAAAAGTCAATCAAAATTGACAATTGATTCATCATCTAACACAATCATTAAATGTTAACTTTCAGAATTTCAAAAAAGGAAGCGTTCTCGAATCACATATTCTTCATTATTGAAAAAAAAATGTAAAAATTATCAAACAAAAACAATGCGTTCTATTAATAATGTATTATTCTCCATGCACGAATCACAATCTTGTTGATGCAGAATTAATAATTAAAATGAATACTCATGATAATTATACCCAATTCTATAATTATCTCTTCAATGATCCAAACCTGTTGCAACACAGTCCGCTCATCAGAAAATATAGTCATGTTGTAAAAGTGTCACGAACGCGATAACTAATAATTTATCATTTAATCATACTCATGTTGTTTCGGTTCCTATGAATTCTCACATAAAGTTTATTTTATATTTTGTCACTGTATTTTACTCAATGGCCGTCAAATTATTAATAACATAGCCCACACTCAATTATTTTCTTTTCTATGAAACAGAATCTAAATGTAGTGTTGCAGGATGGGAGGAGAAATTTGGACTCCCTTTTTTTCTCTTACATTTATGACAGACGTCTTAGTAACGAGCCATCGCAGATGTGATAGACATATGAGAAACGGCTTATCACCGACGTGACAGAAGTTGTTGATATATCCTCAAATATCGTATATTAATAACCTATCGTTATAATTCCTTCTTGCATTTCTGGATGATAAAGTTAAAGGATGATGAAGAAATGTGTCCCAAAGTATAGACCGTGTAAAAAAACTCCGGGACACCAAAGAGTTGCTTCATAAAATTTCATATTACATTCTGATTAAACTTTATATAGGCAATTAGTATAGTTATTAATTAAGGTTTCATATTATGCTATGCAAATGCAAAACTTCTTGCTTTAATATAAAGAAATGACAAGAACAAAAAATCCCCAGGGACAAAAAGTTCTGAGACATTATTCAATCTATTCACCCATCAAGTTTTCTTTGATTGCAAATAGTATCATTGGAAAGACTGTAAAACATTGAGCATAAACGATATGTTTTAATTTTCGAAATCATAGTAATTAAACCGTTTCTGTAGGACAGTCTTTTGCTGTAAAATAATAGTGATCATTAAAAAAAACTGTTAAGAAGATGCTTTAAAAGAGGAGAAACCATGCTTTCTCTTTGTCTATTTTAAAGCGCAGAAGAAATTCTACAAAATAAATATTTTCAAGCTTCCTAACATCTCGGAAAATAGAAATGCAGATTTTCGAAATATTTCAGTTATTTTTATGTGAAAAAAGCCACTAAAATCGATTTTTCTTTTTTGTCATTATACAATGTAATTGTTTAGTATGTTAAAGTTTCAAAATATCTTCTTTTGTAGAATTTATTCTGCGCTTTAAAATAGACAAAGAGAAAGCATGATTTCTCCTCTTTTAAAGCATCTTCTTAACGGTTTTTTAATGATCACTAGTATTTTACAGCAAAAGACTGTCCTACAGAAACGATTTAATTACTATGATTTCGAAAATACAACATATCGTTTATGCTCAATTTTTTACAGTCTTTCCAATGATACTATTTGCAATCAAAGAATACTTGATGGGTGAATAGATCGAATAATATCTCCGAACTTTTTGTCCCTGGGGATTTTTTGTTCTTTTCATTTCTTTATATTAAAGCAAGAAGTTTTGCATTTGCATAGCATAATATGAAACCTTAATTAATAACTATACGAATTACCTATATAAAGTTTAATCCGAATGTAATATGAAATTTTGTGAAACAATTCTTTGGTGTCCCGGAATTTTTTACACGGTCTGTAGATAGAATAAAATAATTTTTCTGTGATTGGCAACAGAAGCTACATTGTGTTTCACATTTTAATTCCGCAGGAATTATGCTAACAGCTTTTTCTTATATATCATCTACGAGAGCAGGTTCCCAAGCGATAAATCGCTTTTAAGCTGGAATTATATTCAATCGATATGATCTAGTGAATAAGTAAATATCCATGAGTAATTCAATTTGCTGGATCTTTGCTGACAAGGTGTTGAATTTTTAGTGGAGTTTTTCTGTATGACCTTAGTTTTCAAGTGGAATCATATTTTTGAATTTTGAATTTTGACTTGAAACTCTACCCACACAGAGGAAGCAATAAGACTAGCTGATAGAAAAACTTTTCCTACTCAGTCTTACCAAGATATGAATTTTTAAAAATGTAATCGCTTTGCCATAATCATTGTAAAAGACATGAACATTTTGAAAGAGTCATATCTTGAAGATGTTTGGTCAAAATATTCTAAATTGTTTTCTATAAGCTAGCCTAATTGGTGTATTTATGCAAGCGAAGTTCCAGATCAAAATTCAAAAATATAATTTCGCTTGAAAACTGGAACCTACAAGAAAATTCACTATACATTTGAAATCTCAGCAACATAAGCGAAGTAGCTCGAATTACTCTGGGGTATTTGCATAATCATTAGGCTCTACTGATTGAATACAGTCCCAGTTCAATCGTAATCTATCACTTGGGAACCTTTCCTCGTTAATAGCAAATTTTCGTCGTTTCCTTTCAAGCAAAAGAATATAACAAGCGCCTAAATAAATGAAAATTTCAGTTGCGTTCGAGAGCAGATCACGTAATCATTTCATGATTTGAATAAAAACCCTGCTAGTTTTTGAAATTTAAATTTAGCAATTCAGATCAGAATCTAATTACCTTAATGTCAATAATAATTCTGATAGTGCTGATCGTAAATCTGATACTATAGTTTGTTTGACATCGTCGTGAAGCATTTGTTTGAAACTATGAAAATAATATTGGTTAAATTATTTAAAGAAGAAAAAGAAACAACAGACCACGTCATGACTTTCTGACTAACAATTGATAAACGAATAGTGTGTTGAGAGTAGGCGTCAACTGGTGGTAATATTATAGCAGATGATGATGTTGTTTCCTATTAAATAGATTAAAATTATAAATAGCACTTAACTGAGTTCATACCTCTTTTGATATATCACCTTTTCCAAAGAAAAATTCTTTTACTTTAATTTCATATTGATTTTCTTCTTTTGTTTTTTGTAATTCATCTATTGTCGGAAGTTTTTTTTCAGCACGAGATCCATCAGATGATATCATGTCTTCAACATCAAGTTTATTTACTAATTGTTGATATCGTTCAGGATTAATCAGTCTATCAGATATCATTGTTTTATTTTGTATGTAATCTTTTGCTGTATCAGTTATCCATTCATATAAACAAGTTATAACAAAATCAATTGTTGTATTATCTGTTCGAATATAATCAGGTAAAGAAATTTGTTTAAGTTTTTTTTCAACTAATGTTGGTTTTTGTAAAATTGTAGCTCGAGATTGATAATATTTATCACGAGCTATTTGTAATTTTTCAAATTCATCATCATCACTATCCGATGTTGATGGTGATGATTCACGACGAGGTATTTTAGGCATTAATCGATTATAATTAGATTGAGAAATAATCGTACTACTGTCATGTTGTAATTTACTAAATAATTTACTATATAAAAATACTATTAATTTTAATGTTTTATTTTACTTTAAATTTTCATGTGTTAATAATTCAATTTTAATTGAAGTATTTCCTTGTTGTTGTTGTTGTTGTTGTTCTCGAGCCCAAACAGGTGATGTAGGAATTTGTCGTTCGAAATATTTTGAAGATTTATAACAAAATGTTGAACAAAACAACTGAAAATAGAATTTTTAATTGAAAAACTTATTTGAAATTTTTTCATTTTAGATTTTTTTTACCCGTCGTTCTGTTGTATCAATTACTTTATTTACTTTTACATTAATAAAATATTGATGAGTTGGCATCTAAAAATTGATCAGAAGTTTAATCAACATTGTAGAAAACATAATTAATATACATCTTTTGGTAGTGATGTGGAACAAATAGGATAGCCACAAATTTGTTTCAATGCACGATCTTCATTGACACCTCGATATCGTTCTTGATCGATCAGAATAGCCTACATAAGAATGTTGATTAATAGAAACATTTATAAACATGATGTTTACCGCATTAATTAATATTTCATGATCGACTTTGTCTTCTTCAATTAATTGCATACATATATTGTATGCTTTCTTTTCACAAGCTTTTCTTTGTTCAATTTTAGCTCGGAATGCATCAAGTTTTGTTTGTTCTACTGTCGCCATCTGAAATATAATCATGAATAGAACATGTACATATAACAAAGAGAGAAAATTATCTTCCGAAATATATCAAACAATAACAAAAAAGAAACAAAATAAGCTGACGACTAGAGTTGAATAGAAGGTAAAATACATTGAAGTGTAAAATATTCTGCAACAATACAAATATGTAACATGCTATTATTACAGAAATCTAAATAAAATCAATAGAAATAATAAACAAGTGAAAGATTTTCACATACTGAAAACCATTTTTTCTGCATATGGTTGTTGTGAATGAAGTAATTGAGCAAATTTCTTAATATCTAAACGTACTTCAGCCGTATCAATAGAACTTGATGATGATGAACTTGATCGTTGTGTTATTGGCATATTCCATTGGGATCGATCATCACCCATAGGATCTACATTTACATTATTAGATTTTTTTTTTTATAAAGGGAATCATTTTCAAACCTTTTCTCGATATTTCTTGAAGGCCAGTAAAATATGTCGCTACTTGTGCTGTATCCGTTTCAACTTTTACTGTCATATCACCAGATTTGTTTGCTTGTAATGTCTACAGAGAAGACTAGAAATTTTCCTTTCTAAATTGAACTTACAACAAAATTACACATAGCCTTCATTCGATCGATAATATTTTTTAATGTTTTTAATTTTGGCATTGTGATACTAATCTAAACAAGATACAAAAAAAGAACAATTTTGTTTCTTTCTCAAGATTGAATTTCATTTTATTTCTTTTTTTATATACATGTATTTCTATAGATTAAAATTAAGACAGATCACATGATTATATAAATATCACAAGTACGATCTGTCCCTTAGGTTTATATTTATATATAATATGCCTGAGCAATTATTCCCTAAAACACATCAAGAAGTTTGACCTTTATGTGAGTATCAACACTCATCATGACAACAATAACAACAAGAGCAACCGTCCTAATAGCAAGTGTTGAGAATACCACGGCCCATCAATTCTAAGCTAATCAAGTGATGAAACAAAGTTATCTTTATCCTTCAATTATGATCATTTTAGTTAGAATCGATTGATTTATTATTTTGCTTTTCTATTTCATTCTACTCGGTCATAGAACAAAAAGTCGATCAAATATTTCTCATCATCTATTCTGTCGATGTATGAATACTATTTTGAATAGTTGTAATCGAGAAAGATTCTAATAATAAGAATAAAAACTCGTTTTTTTGTCTCATTGATCTTTTTCATTCTTTTTTCCTTCATCGTCTTATATTGTCCTCGAAATATATCGACGATAAGCGTCGACTTCTCCCTTGACACTAGATTTTCTATCTTTATTTATATGTATACACGCTTGTGTCTCTATCCATAGGGAAGTTCCTTGCACTATTATTTCTCATTCTTCCGATGACGGTAATAATCCACCGCCATCAGTTCTCTTCTTTTTTTCTGCTATTCCTTTGCGGCAACGATACACGCAATGAGTTTTTCTCAGCGCTCTCTCTCTCGCTCTCTTTTCCTCGTTTCTTTCTTTTTTTTTTTTTTTGACTAGTGCTTGCCGTTCGTATTCAAAGATGGCAAACTCCATACTAGTTACATAGGCAAAGTATAGTAGACGAACTAGAACGCTTTTTTGTCGGTTGAAAGAAAAAGAGACATTGATAAATATACAACCACAACAAGAACTTATTCGCTTGCTCGTCGAGTCTCGTCGTACTACTAGTAAATTATCTCGGATCCCTATGGCATTATTTTTTTTTGCTGGTAAAGAACATCGTAAGAGAAATGTTTTTTTTTTGGAAACATTTGACAGATCAATAAATTTATTGTATAAAATATGAAGGATATTAATAATCTAATGTATATTAAGAAATGTTCCTTGAATTATTTCGATACGCCGTCAAGGCCATTGAGACGTCAGTGAGAAAATAATGATTGATACAATAAAAAAGAAAGATAGAATCAATAGTGACGTCAATATTAATCGACATTGCTATATACTTTGCATGGCGAATAGTTAGAAAAGGCAAAAACAAATGATGTTTCTCTAGTTCTAGTCTATGTTGTTCTTTTCTTTCTCTCTATCTTATCATATCAACAGGGAAAACATCCGGAAATAACCTTAATCATTTGAGTACGCCAACTCGAATGACAAAACAAGAAACAATATAATTATATTGTTACTTGAGTTTTCTTAATGTATTTTTCATTTTTTTTCTTTCTAGTATATTGAACTCTTATCGTCAATCGATACTTATGAGCTGTTATTCAAAAATATTGACACTATGAGGAAGAATGCAATGGTGCATCGCAGTGCCTTTCTCTTCTTCCCTTTCTTTGACTACTTTATTTCCTAATAATAATCTATTGTCATCACTTATAATAACGATGACTTTTATTCTCAGTATTATTAATTTACCATCATCCGCCGTCCATGCGTTGTCTACATCAGCATGTTCACAATATTTATTTTCAACTAGTACTGATATACGTACAAATAATCAATATATTCAACCATGTCCAGTTTCAACATCTTGCCAGTGTATATGCGAAATTGAAAGTAAACGTTTATGGATTGATTGTTTTTATCGACAGTTAACATCAATGCCAATATTTCAAACAATTTCAACAAATAATACAGTTATTGAATGGAATATAGATTTAGCATTTAATTTATTTGACAGGATAAAATTTAATAATAAAACAAAATGGATACCTGATAATATGCATATACGTCATATGGTGCTTTCTAGTTCACTTGCATATGATCTTATTGTACAACTAAATTTAACTCATCGACATTTAATTGATATATGGCCTAGTCAACAACATTTATCTATTATTGATGATCAATTTCAAATATTTGATGACTATGAATATGATAAGTCAGAGGAAGAGGTAAAAAAATTTTTAATAAAAAACAAAAAAAAGAGGAAATTTTCTTTTCGAAACAGGATAAAAAAGATATAAACGAACTCTACAAAATGAAACGTTCAGTAACATCATCAAATGCTGAACATAAACGTCTTCTTACTGAATTAACATTAAAATTACGAGAAAAAACTAAACGAATTAATCTATTTACATTATCATTATCTGGTGAACCTGCGCCAATATCAAATCTTTATCTTGATCATAATTCTCTTGATTCTATACCTACTCAAGCTTTATATAACGCAACAGGTTTATATGAAATATATTTATCATTTAATAATATAGTTCAATTACCAGCATTTGCATTTGGATTTTCTCATCGTCTTACACGTATTGATTTATCACATAATAAATTAATATCAATAAGTAATTTAACATTTCAAAGACATCCAAATGCATTTGCTGGTCCATTTCTTATTGATTATCTTGATTTATCACATAATCAATTAACAACATTAGAAGCCAATGCTTTTGCTTATCTTGTTAATTTGCGTTTATTAAAATTAGAACATAATCAAATACGTTCAATATCTGCACATGTATGGACTGGTTTATATCGTTTGAAATATCTTGATTTATCACATAATTATATAGAAAATTTTACTCAAGCTTTTTACAGTGGATATCTTAATGAATTAAATCAATTAAAAATTACATCAAATAATCTAAGTGAAATAGGTCCATGTGAATTTTTATCACTTAAAAGATTATCTAAACTTAACCTAAGTGGAAACAATATAACACAACTTGATACTTGTTCATTTTATGGTCTTCATCAAACAACAACTTATTCATCATTAAATGTACATTTACGTTCAAATCAACTTGAAACAATTCATCCATGTACATTTAATAATTTTGCACGTTCAACAATTCATTTAGAAAATAATCCCTTAATATGTAATTGTTCATTTAATTATTTATTACATAATCGTCAATCAATTGCTTATACAGGCCAAGAATGTCTTGGCGGATTTTCATATCAATCACAACATCAACAATTAACATTACCTGCCGTCCGTAAAACAAATTCAACATTAACTAAAAAACCAATTAATGCTTCAATACCATGTCAAGATTCATATACATATTATAATGATCTATGTTCAAGGCTTGATTGTTCAACTGAATGTGCAACTAACGAACGTTTTATTATTCAAATAACGACAATACCAACACCAAGCGGAACAATATTTATCTATCAGCAAACACTCGCTTCTATTTTTATTGTTGTTTTTGTTCATTATTGTCATTTTTTTTCTCTCTTGTATACATTGTGATACTTAAAAAAAAGAAAAAAAGGCATTTTACTTACATCACATCGAGGAATGTTTGGAGCCTGAAAATCAATCCTAAAAAAAAAGAGCGGAATAAATCTCTCTGTGTAATAGGAAAAAATATTTACCAATGTTTATGGGCTAATAAATGAATAGGAATGTCACATGTAAATTGTCGTTCAGTCATTGCTGATGAAATCTAAAGATGATTTAAAAGAAAAAGATTTTTCTTTTTTTTTCTCATTTTTCTAATAATAAAAAGAACATACAACTTCTGTATCAATACTTAGACATGGACTGTTATGTTTTTTGATTAAACGAAGTCTAAGTAATTGAGCTGCTTGTGCTGGTTTAAGTGCACGTACTAATTCTTCAAACATAATTTCAATATAAATTTCATTTGCTAATGGTGATAAACCATCCATAATATAATCATCAAAAAATCGAATTGGATCAAGCTCAATCCAAAGTGAAACACCACCACCAAATGATTTATCACCCAAAATCAAAAATAGTTTATCAGCTGTTAATCGAAGTACACCGGATTTAGCCATTTTTGATATACCAATAATAATTTCTATGACAAACAAGAAAAAAGATAATAATGTGCTTTGTTTTTTTTTCCAAAAGTTTAACATTCTTTTTTTTTGTATGAGACTGAAAACAATGTAGAACAAAGCTGGAAACTATTTTTATCATAAATGTTAGTTAGATTCTTGTTAATTAATATTAAAACATACTTGTAAATTTATTGATCGTACTACTATTGTGTAATTTGGCACGAAATTTCATTGTTTTAGATTTTTATAAAGTCACAACAAAGAAAAAAGAATAATATCTAGAATATAGAAATTAAGTTGAATTATGTATATTTGTGGAAAATAATCGTGACCACCACGATGTGTTAACAATATTTCGTTGAAAAACACTATTTATATAACTTTTAACAAGTTTAAAATCTTTTTGTAAATAAGGTCTAGCAGCATTAACAAAGTCGAAATCTGGATCAAGTTGTCGACCAATACCTTCGATAATAATTGTTCCAAGAGCCAGTGTTGTAAAACTTGATTCCATTTTAATGTGATATTTTTTTCCTAAATCTAATACATTATGTAAAACTAATCCAACTTCAAGTTGTTTTAATGGAGTTTTAAGAACACTATCAATTAATTTAGACATATCTTTTCGAAAACCAATTTTTGATTGATCATCAATTTCATTAGCATTTGGAGCACGTTCTATCAATAATGTTGCTGCTTCTATGGCATCATAATTTACTATTGCACGAAATAAATCATAAAAATTCTTTTTATCTCTTCGATTAAGTGAAGATGTTAAACCAACATCGATAAGTATTATAGCTGGTTCATGAGATAACTTTTCATCAAGACGAACAAGAATATTGCCTGGATGAAGATCTGCATGTACCTAAAAATCAATAAATCAAATAAAATAGCTTTGCTTGTGAATTTAGATCAGAGAATCTTGATAATGTTTTTTTTTTATAACTTGAATCATATTAGATACCGATATTGAATACAAATGAAGTCATAAAAATTATTATTTGCTCTCAGAAGTGGTTCAAGGTCGCTGGGATTAGAAGAGGAACGATAAATCCGGAGATTGATTGGAAGACTTTTTGCTAAAGTTGGCCTGATTTTGGAGAGTGTAAACGTTTTGTTTTTTGGGAATTAGTGAGCAAAACAAAACCAATAAAACGCTGGAATGCCACTAGGAAAAAAACAAAAATTTTTCAAGATTGAAGGAGAATTAACTCGCTTTCTAACTCGAGACATTTTTGTTTCCTCGCCCACTACTTCATCTATTCGGAGAATATTTATATTGATAGGCTCATATTTCTTATCAACACACAAAACTCAATTGCTATGAAGATACTGCATGTTTATGGTATTTTTTCCATAAATACCATGATCTCCTTCAAAAATATCAGAAAAACTGATTTTCGAGTTTCGACTTGAAAAGTTGTGTAGAGACAAGCCTTAATGAGAATAGTTTACTGTAAAAATTATAGATCTTTTGATTTCCTTTTATCCTGTATTTATAGCTTAGGTTAATATACATAATGCACATAGTCTCGATTCAAAAGCGACTGAACAGTTAATTTTAACGAACACCCGATAATGTTTTCTTGTTTGTTAGTGTTTATAAGATTAAACTTACGAAATTGTCAACAAAGAGCATTTTTAAATAAGCATTAACACCCAGATATGCTATTTTTTTTCTAATTTTTGTATCTTTACATGTTTCCATAAATTCATTTAATAATTGTCCATTTTCATAAGTTTCAAAAAGAATATCTTTTGTTGATGGTAATGATGAATCAACATGTGGAAAACGTATATTTGATTGATATTTTTGAAAATTTCTTTCGAATATTTGCAAATTTTTTGTTTCAATCATTAAATTTGTTTGTAATAACATATTTTTAGTAAATGCTTGAATATTATCTTCAATATTAAGCGATTTAAATGCTTCTTTTGATAAATATTTTGTTATTACACTTGTAAGAATATTTAAAATTTTTAAATCATAATAAATTTCATTTTGAACACCAGGATGACGAATTTTCATTATTAAATCATGATTATCAATTTTACATCGATAAACTTGTGCTATAGCACCACTTGCTATTGGCTTTGAAAGACAATAAAATAATGACGAATCAATATTGATATTATTCTCACGTAATAATTTTCGTGTTGCAGATTCTGAATGTGTTGGTGCATTAGAATGGAGTTCATTAAATATTGAACAAAATTGAGCAGAAAATAGATCAGGTCGAGTTGCCATCCATTGACCAAGCTTAATAAAACAAGGACCACAATATTCAAATGATCTAAATAAATTATAGATAAATTTTCAAAAAATATTTCAGAAATAAAATTTTACCGTTTAAGTGCAAAACACCATTTTTCATATAAATGTGGAGCAAATTTGTCTTGAAAAAAATAAAAAATAGTAAGAGGAGTAAAAATGATGACTAGTTTAAGTGTACGAAAGAATAAACGTATAGGTACAATAAAAGCTGCTGAACGATTTAAATAAAGTTCCGAATTAAGTAATTGTTGCGTTTGTAAAAGAAGTTTATCAAGTTCATTTTGAGTTACAGACTCAGTATTTTCATCAAAATTTTCTTCGGATGATTTCCCTTGGTTTATCCATAATTGAATTTCAGAGAAATCTCTATAAATAATATAACCTATCGGTACACCGGCAGAAACGACAGTAAATGCGATAGTTAATGGCCAAAAACGACGATACCATGGATATATTTCACCACGTCTAGGTAATTCAAATAAACGACGATAGGGATTTGACGGAGAAATAAGACGTGGATTGCGAAGACATAATGAACCACGACGAGTTAGATGAATAGCGACTCGGAAAAACATAATTAAGCAGAGAATATTCGTAATAGATAAGATTTTTATAGAACTTTTTGATACATAAGCTTGGATTCATAAAGATATTTAATGGATTGAGAATTTCGCAGCAGTAATGATAGATGTCTATGTAAGTCGGCAATGAGAAAACAAGATATATTGTTGAAATGTTTTATAATCAAACTGTACTGTAAAATCAATGAAAGAGTTATATAAAAAAAAAAAACCCTTAACTGTCTTTTGAAACTCGCTTGTTCCAATAGAATATTGGTTTCTTTAAAATTCCACCACTCAACTTTGAATGAAAGACATAGTTTGAAATAAGCCTTATAGAAGTTCATTAACTCGTTAAATTAGTGGCAATATAATTTCATAACATTTCAGTGTTATATAATTGTTCTAATCGAATATCTCTAGCAAATGGTCATACGAATTTTTTTTCTCACAAGGCTTACTTATTTATATTACACTAAAAATATACAGTAATACGGCTTGTCCAAACGTAACGCTGTTACGTTTTTGACACACTGTTCTTCAATTAACTCGGAAGGTTTAACAGCTAGAAAGTTCATTCAAACGCCATCCGACACAGCTTATCAAACTCTATTTATGCTATAAGAACGACCTTTTTCGGCTGAAGTCTCGAACGTCTAGAAAGGTTTTATTATCGCGTAACGCTGTTACATAAAAAGACCCTTTTTTTCCANGCGAATTTCACAAGAGTGGGATGTGCGCCTCTCTGTCAGTCGAATATCTGTAACAAATTTATATTAAATATTTCTTTTTCTTTAATCAAATTCTAACACTTTGCACTTTGGAAACTTTGTGACACTCTGTTTAAAAAAACAAAGTGTCATTTTACACTTTGATTGCAAATATAAAGTGTCATTTGACTTTTTGTTTCAGATTTCTATTAGAAACGCTGTCTGTCATATCATTCCAATAGGAATGTTAGATAAATCATTTTCTATTGTTGGTAAAAACTTGGAAAAAATTTTTTGCATTTAATATCTTCAAGAAAAAAAGATGCGAAAGGTTATATACATGCTAGTATATAGCGCCCTCTTTACTATTATAGAGACCATATCGAGTCTTGGTGCAATGGCGATTTGCTGTGTGAAGCACTAGCTAATCCGATCGATGTATTATATTATACCAATAAACTACTTGTAGGAATCATTGTTTTATATCTTCTTTCTTGACATTTCTATTTTAATTTTATTATCTTGTATTTTCCTTATTAGACGAAGACATTTATTCATGTAATAAAATCCAAGAGTTTCGTTGAATAAAATTAAAAATTACTCATGGAACCATCTCCATTTCAAGATCTTGCATATATTCTTAAAAATGAATTACCATCATTGAAAGGAAATCTTGCTGAAAATATTTCAAACCTTGCTAAAGTGGCTGATTTTTGTGAAGATAATTATTTAAATTCATCTAATCATGACAAATCACGTGTTTATGAAGACACAAAAAATTATGCTATTCAAGCTGTAAATTTTTGTTTCTTTTTTCTTTATTTATATAAATTTATTTTCTATGATTTAGTTAGCTAGTGTGGCTTATCAAATAAATACAATAGCAACATCATTTTTACAATTATTAGATTTACAATCGAATCAATTTAATGAATTAGAAACAAACTTAAATGATTTAAGTGAAGATACAAATGTACACAAAGAAAAAGTAGCACGAAGAGAAATTGGTACATTGACAACAAATAAAACTTTAGGTCGACAACCATTATTTATTAAACCAAGCAATCCAGAAAAACTTGTGCGATACGTTCGTAAACCATTAGATTATTCAATTCTTGATGATATTGGTAAAAACTCAATCAATAATTGTTCTTTTGAAAAAAAAGAAGATTTTCTCGTTTAGGTCATGGTGTTCGTTTATCACCACAAGATAATAAATCTCGTCATATGATTTATAGTAATGGTCTTCAGCAACAACAACAACCACAACCATCTACACCTCCATCAATGAAAAATGCAAATGCTAGTTTATCTAAAGCAACTGGTGCTAATTCATCTTTAATTTATGCTCAACGCTCATCTATTCAACAGGCACCACCTGTTGTTGTTCCACCAACTGATTATGCTAGTCGACATGATCTTATCATGAATAATGGTCATCAGTATAATCCACACGGAAATCGTCAACAAACATCTTATAATCAATTGTTAATGATGATGAATAATGAGAATGTATATGCAACACGACATAATGGAATTTTAAATACAAATAATATGAATCGATATACAGGAGCAATGATTGAAAATGGTGGTTCAGTACGATCCAGAGCAACAAGTCAACCACCAGGATCAGCACGTGCTCCATTACATATGGATAATTATGATCCAAGTGCTCAACAACAAA